ATGCAGACTACGTGCGCTTTGGCTGCTCCAGGGTCAGGGCCACCCTGGACGCCGGCCCCGCGCTGCGCACACGGGCCGGGGAAGTTCGTTGTGCACCTGCCACAAAGGAGGCTTGTGCTTTGCGGGTGGGGAGCTGGGCCTTGTGCCGTGAGAGGTGCCAGGCACGCCTCTGCGGGTGCAAGGAGCCTGCAGAGCCGGGCGCCCTTCCAGCCCCGTGCTCCTGCAGCCCAGGCACTGCCGGGGGAGAGCGCAGCGCTGCAGGCCCCGCGGGAGCAGCTCGCTGGGCTCTGCGTGGGGGCACCGTGTTGGGAACGTTGAAGCACGGGAGCGCGGGGAGGCTGCACCTGCCGTCTTCCCTGCCCCTCGCTGGGGCTCGGTGTCCCGCGGCCCCCTCACGCGTCGCTGGCTTGGGCTGCACGTCCAGCCCCCGGAGGTCGAGGGACCCCCCAGGCACGGACAGGCCCAACAGGGGAGTCTGTGCAGGGCCCAGCCCACGACCTTGCCCTTCTCCTTTCCTGCATGCCAGGCCGGACCCACGCCAGCCACGGTGGCATTTGTGTTTCAAGGCAGGTGGTGTCCGTGCCTCTCCTGCCTGCAGCTGGGGCCACCTCCTGCGCTGCGTTTGCTGTGCCCAGGGGGTCGGGCTGGTGCCCAGTGCTGCCTTCATCATAATTCAGCTGCTGCTGACAGCCCTTCCCTCATTGCACCATCATCGTCCTCATCTGCGTGCAGCAGGCCCCGCGAGCCTGTGGAGCGGGCACCTTGAATGCATGGTGGTTGGTAGGGCTTCGGCACGTGGTACTTCAGGTGCAGCATGTGGCTGTACCTGTTGGTTTGCACGGCGGCTCCTCCCCATCGCCCGTTCCCAGCTCTAGTGCCAGTGGCTCTGGGTGTCGCAGGTCAGTTCTGTTGGGCTTTAGCCTCTCCAAGGAAACGTGCCGCGGCGGAGATCGGGCATGGGCTGCTGCAGCACTCCTCAGCCATGCGACGGGCTCCGTGCTGGTAATGCACAGCTCCCACGTCTCTACCATGCATGAGTCGCGCCAGCCTGTCCTCCGCACCGTGGGATGCAGGAGCAAGGAGGTGGCTGGCAGGCGCGTGCAGCACTCTCGCCTGGGGTCCAAAGAGCAGTTGTGGGCGCTGCAGCAGCTCTCGTAAAGGCCTGACACAGCACATAGCAGCTGGGTGCACAGAGCTGGAGGGGAGCGCACTAAATTCTGCGGTGGCAGCTATGTAGGTCAGCAGATCGTGTGGGCAGAAACTAAATCTGCCCGTGAAGTGACGGATGCTCAAACACGACCGGGAGCAAGGCTGCTGTTGGGCCGGCTGCAGCGGAGCGTGTCGGGATGCCTCCGGCCAAAGGCAGAGCTGGAAGGAGGCGCAGGCGCCAGCCAGCGAGATGGGCACAGAAGAAGCTTGGGGCGTGGGGCAGAGGGGGCCCTGCGTTTTGTGCTCGGGGGTGGGCAGCCCAGCGCTTGCCTCTGGCGCAGCCGAGGAGACCCCGCTCCCCAGGCGCAGCCCTGATTTG